GTCCGCGAGCTTGGAGTGACTGCTGTAGACATGTGACCCTCCGTGCAAGTCTCTTCTATGTCCAGGACCGTTAACTCATTCATTTCAGAGTTTGTTCAATTCAACTTCAAACGTATCACTGATCACTGTTCCACACCCATGCATGGTCGGAGCGGGCCTCCTCGAACGCAGTCGTCCCTCTGGCCGGAATGCGGAATGACCTTGGCCAAAAAGGTAGGCATGTCGTTCAACCATTCTTCAAAACATTTAGCTACATGTCATTTGATTACATGTCATGACGGTCAGGGGATTACATATCTCACACAGCTGGTGTCTCACACGGCCTGGATTCTTTCACGCGGGCGTTGGAGTCTTGTAATTTTCACTCAACTTTAGACCCACTCATCTCGTATTCCCAACCTGCTCCCGCTTGAGTGCGCGGCCGGTTCACTGCATCAAGCGATGCTCACATCGACATCGCACGAAAAAGTGTGGGGCTGAAAGGAACCAGAGAGTGAAGGTTTGGCTCCTGAACCTTGTTACATATTATCCATCCTGTAGGCCAACCTGCAGTGATCATGCGTCTTCCATCCTTTATAGACTCTAGGTATCAGAAACACCGCATGCAGGGGCGACCGCGCCGACAAGCGAAAGTGAACCTCGTGTTTCCATGAGATAGATTGCAGCACTCCTGCAAAAACTGTTGTTTACATACGTCCCATGAGACTCGTTGTAAACGCAGACTGTTTACATGTCCATGTACCCAGTCCACCCTACAAACAAAACCACGAAGGCGCGAACTCCAAAAACGGAATTGAACTCCAAGAATCACAGGTTTCAGAAACAGAACTCGGAAGTACATCGATGAAAACGCAAGTTCACTGACACCAACCGAAGCTCAAACATACGCACAGCGAGAAAGCGTGCACGGTGTGCAACTCATGCATTGCACCACGAAGGCAAAAACAATACGTGCATGCTGTATGCCAATGTTTGTTCCACGTTTTTTCCTCTTAAAGGTCCGTGTCCGTTTAAAGTGTGTGTGTGTGTGTGTTTTTGGGGGGGCCGGTGGCTACATACAATTTTTTGACAACATGTGTGAGATAACTTCTGGGGCAATCGAAACATAGTCATAGCTTTATGGCCAAGAGGCAGCAAACCAGCTTTTTCACAGCGTGTGTGAAGCAAATTTTTGGGGCAACTGAAATATAGTCATAGCTTCTCGGCCTAGAGGCAGCAAACGGCAACAATGCTACAAACGGCATATCTACGTTGCAGTTTGCAGCAACGCTGTCCCAGGGACACTGTTGGAGCGTCCAGGCTCTCACCTCCCACGGGTCCTCTGGCTGGTACACAAGAAGCCGTTCTCTCACCTCCCACGGGTCCTCTGGCCACGGGTCCTCTGGCTGGTACACAAGAAGCCGTTCTCTCACCTCCCTTCCACGGGTCCTCAGGCTGGTTGACACCTGCTCCCAGCGATTTGCTTCGCCACAGCTTTCCGCAATCTAATTCGAGACCAAAAATCGCCCGAAAGAGGTCCTCCGCGTACGCCCCCAGAATGTCTAACGTTGCTTTCGGAACCCGCAAAACAAGTCTGTGAAGCCGCGTCGAGCACACCCTTTCTTCCGCTTTCGACCCTTCAGCCACGCTTCCAGCCGCCTGCTGTCACGGAAACGCCTCGGAAGCCTCGACAAAGCCGTTCTCTCACCTGCCACGGGTCCTCTGGCTGGTACACAAGAAGCCGTTCTCGCACCTCCCACAGGTCCTCTGGCCAAGGGTCCTCTGGCTGGTACACAAGAAGCCGTCCTCTCCCCTCTGACGGGTTGTCTGGCTGGTTGACACCTGCTCCCAGTGATTTGCTTCGCCACAGCTTTCCACAATCTAATTCGAGACCAAAAATCGCCCTAAAGAGGGCCTCCGCGTACGCCCCCCAGAATGTCTAACGTTGCTTTCGGAACCCGTAAAACAAGTCTGTGAAGCAGCGTCGAGCACGCCCTTTCTTCCGCTTTCGACCCTTCAGCCACGCGCCAGCCGCCTGCTGTCACGGAAACGCCTCGGAAGCCTCGACAAAGCCGTTCTCTCGCCTCCCACGGGTCCTCTGGCTGGTAAACAAGAAGCCGTACTCTCACCTCCCACGGGTCCTCTGGCCACGGGTCCTCTGGCTGGTACACAAGAAGCCGTTCTCTCCCCTCCCACGGGTCCTCTGGCTGGTAAGCACCTGTTCCGAGTGATTTCCTTCGCCGCGCTTTTCCACCATCTAATTCGAGACCAAAAATCGCCCTAAAGAGGGCCTCCCCGTACGCCCCCAGAATGTCTAACGTTGCTTTCGGAACCCGCAAAAGAAGTCTGTGAAGCAGCGTCGAGCGCGCCCTTTCTTCCGCTTTCGACCCTTCAGCCACGCTTCCAGCCGCCTGCTGTCACGGAATTGCCTCGGGTTGTCGGCAACGCTTCAAGAAGCCGATCTCTCACCTCCCACGGGTCCTCTGGCTGGTAGACACCCTGCTGCCAGTGATTTCCTTCGCCACAGCTTTCCACGATCTAATTCGAGACCAAAAATCGCCCGACAGGGCGCCTCCCAGTACGCCCCCAGAATGTCTAACGTCGCTTTCGGAACCCGTAAAACAATTCTGTGAAGCAACGTCGAGCACGCCCTGTCTTCCGCTTTCGAACCTTCAGCAACGCTTCAAACCGCCTGCTGTGACGGAAACGCCTCGAAAGCCTCGAAGAAGCCGATCTCTCACCTCCCACGGGTCCTCTGGCTGGTAGGTGAGGCTGGTAGGTGAAGCAGCGTCGAGCACGCCCTTTCTTCCGCTTTCAGACCTTCGAACCGCAACGCTTCGAGCATGCCCTCGGTTGCCTTCTCTGGCGCGCGCCCCCTTCAACCGGCGGGGTCGGCGGATTGCACTTGTCCTATATTCGCCAAGTATGTTAACCACTTTCTCAAGAACTTGTCTACTCGTATCGCATCATGTGGACTGAGGCTCAATGTATTCTTGCTGTGGCGAGAGCTTTTTATCCCTAGGCCACCTGTGGTTCCTTACCCAAGTCATTTAACTGACATGTGAACGGGGTTGAAACAGGGCTAGTCCTAGACTTCGATGCCACAGACTTCCTTGGGCTTGACAGATTTCCTTTTGTGGCCAAAACGGAATGAAGTCCATGCGGCGAAGGTTCCGAGAGATGCGAAACCGCATCGAGGAGCGCACGAAGCAGCAGGGCGGGCGATTGAGTCGGTGTGGTCCTCACATGCCATCTTTCGCCCGGCCGTTGTCAAGCATGATTTTGATGCGATCAACTTTTGTGGCTCTTCTCAAAGGAAAAGGATGTACATTTAAACATATAGTATTTATATATATAGACATATCATTACGCAACATATTATACATACATATTAGTCATAGATTGTGCATGAGACCAAAGGCGACTGTAAGTAAGAAGATAAAACAAGAAGTGTAGAGTTTTTGAGATACCCACCTCAAGTATTCTTATGACAGACCAAGCAACCAATGGAATGCAAAAGCTTGGCAAGATGGCGGCCACCAAACCCCAGACCCAAACGTGAACTTTCAGATTCAGTTGATTTGATCCACCTCCACGGCAAAGGCTGCCCTTCATTGTGACCTGTGCTTTGCTGTACTTGGGATTGGTGGCTCCAGGAGTCCTGGTTGTCAAGGTGGGCGGCTTTCGACGCTGCAAGGATTCTTTCCTATTTTTAAGCGTGATTTCATGTTATTATTTCTAATTCTTTAACTTCCTTTTTCTTTGGACTCTAAACCGTCTAAAACTTTTTTTTTCCTTTCCATCTTCCGGTCAATTTTTTTCATATGTATATGATTCTACACGAACATCAAGCGAACACTAAGCCTACTGACTTTGGTGCTGGAGCTGGCACAAGGGCGTGTAAGTAACATACCGGCGAAGCCAAACATGGCCAACCCTATACTGGTGCCTTGTTATTGCAAGCTCACCAGAATGAAAACCACACAAACGGAAAAGTATGAAGTATAGTATGAAGTACTGTTGAGTATTGGACGAGCACCAGAACTCTTGGCTACTGCTGATGTGCATGGAATGGTTGCACATAGAAGTACATGCTTCAGCAGTGGTATTTGGATGCAGCTGTTTGAATCAATTAGCCTTGTGTGTGAATCGAAGCAACACAGACAGTGCGTGCTCGCGATTGCCCCAACAACAGTTTGAAGACGTGCAGCCAAAGACTCTGAGTTGCTTTGCCTTTCAGTTTCCTTCAAGTCGCCCAGACTGTTGCTTGATTTCATGCATAGTACGATTCTTGGAGGCGGCAGCACATGGGGCGCAGTTTGGCAGCGGTTTTCGCTTGGCACTTTTGGGAATGTACGCAGCAAGCTCAGTCAGCAATTCTAGCTGACACCAGAGAAGGTGCCTAGCTCTAGACTCTAGACCAATTTTCCGGACAAACAAGAATTCAAGACAGCACTATGAGCTTTGGGAATGATAAAGGGATACATTTTGATGATTTTGATGGCAAGTTAAGGTATTGATACGCTAACAGAACACTGATGCGACAGGTTCTTTATCTCGTTTCATGGTGGGTACACTTTCTAGCGAGCTATGTGCTACTTGAGCACAATGTAACACATATAATATGTATAAAATGTATATATATATGTATATATGTGTAATTGCAACATGCAACAGTTCGTGAACATGATGCGCTCATATGTCTTGGCTCAGCTTGGTCAGCCAGGCTTTGATCAGACGCTTTGACAGAAGACGAATTGACACTGTGACATAAATTGGCACTGTGACTGCAAGAATTCGGTCCGGCCAACAGATACGCCTCACTAAAGTTTGGACGAAACCACCTTTGTTGAACCACACTTCGCTCAGGTGCGGTGGCACCTTGTTACTGTAGCACTGTAGCACCCCACTTCTGACAGCATCTGAAAGATGCTCCAATGGTTCAACCATGTTCAACCAGCATCTGAAGTGAAAACCGGCCTAGAGCATGCTATAGCCATACTCAGTCCCAACCAGACACGCAGTGCCTGAACTTGGTTTGTGTCCATCCCATGGCAGAGAGGATGTAGAGCAGAGCTGCAGGAGCTGCAGAGCTCTCATTTGTAATGATGCGACTCCCCTCGCGGAGGCCCTAGACTTGGTTTTCCGCAAGTTTAATCGAAAGAATCGCTTCGAAAGAGGACTTGGCATTGCTTTGTGAGGTGTGGTAGGCATTGTCTCAATTTGTGTTAGGATTTGTGTTGCTTTGTGTTTCAATTCGTGGCTCCATCGTGAGCTTCGTGAGGCGGAGCAAAGTAATGGCGCGACTGACGAATCTGTTGCTGGAATTTTCAATCGCCCAAGGCCAAGCCATTCACTTGTGGCCATGTTGAAATTTGCTGTTTGGTGAGAGCGTGCTTTTTTCACGTGTATGCTAAATCGGCTGATAGGCACACAAAATGCAAGACGGATATTTCTGGTCTTCATCCTTTTGATGCTCGGATGAACCTTAAAGCCGCCTTTGTTTCTTTTTGCCTCTACAGCTGGCTGCTTAGCAGTAGCTGCCTGTAGTTCCTTTTTTGCTGTAGAAGTGTCTAGTTTTTGCCTGCTTTTGTGTGCTCTGTCTTTACTTAGGGTTGCTTGGATTGGTCTCTACGGAGACCTTTTGGGTGCTGGTCTCACGGACAAGGCTTTGCGACCCGACAAGGACAGTGTCGAACCGACGGATTCTTTCAGAGCAAATGCTGTAATCGTTCCGTGACCATAACCAACAGCGCGAGGACTCGTTCTTGGCTCGGATGGGCTTCCAAATCTCTGTGTTTGTGGCCACTCTTTTAGTTTGTGAGACCACTCTTATCCTAGTGCCCGACCCTCAGCGTTCCATCTTTTGAAAAAGACATTTGGAGACGGCAGTGTGTCAGCATTTGGAGTGCCTTTGCAAAACCATTGTGGACGCAACTCCAGCCAGCCTGCAGAATTCTCTTTGCACCTTCACGTTCCATGCATGTTCTACGCTGCTTGAATTCCTCAATCCAGTCATTCCGACTTCACCAGTTGCTTAGGTATGGCACCGTTGTTTATGGCGGGATGTTCCTTCACCAAAAGGCCTGACATTAATTTGTACGCAGATGCGCAGGACTGAATGTCTTCACTGCTTGATCTACAGACTTGTTCTACAACATGTGCGAGGATTCGTTCTGCTCTGTTCAATTTGGGATTCGCGACGCCAACACGCAGAGAAGCGCTGTAAAGAAAAAAGCCCTGCCCATGTAGCCATAATATGGCTGGTTTTCTTCAAGGTGCCTTTGCGTCATTGAAAACCACACAGGATTGGTTTGTTTTCGATGTTCGACCCATTGGTGGGTGTGTCTCTTGACGTCTGAACAGGGCACGTTGCAGAAGCCAAGTAAGAAAACGGTTACTGTAGCAGAGGGCATTCCCCACGGATGTATCTGGGTATTATGTGGTTTGAAGGCAGTTTGGGCGGCTGTTCGTCACGTGACCTAAAAGCTGAGGAATATTAATAAATACGTATACAGTAATACTGTAACTAATATCAACAATATGTAAGATTACTGTATGCAAGTAAGCTTTTTGGGTGCCTGAACTGAACCCACTTGGCTGCCATATTACATGCTAATCCACCCGCTCAACGCCCCCCACACAGATGTGTTCAACCAGTGGTTCAACCTGCCAAATTTCATAACCCATGGCCGGTTGATGTTGGTTTTGGGTTTTAATTTGCACACACATGGCTTTACCAAAAAAAATGGAAATTGCAGTACTATCCACCTGGAAATGACACAGAGATTGCGCTAGTAGAGAAAGGTGAGCAAGCATTGTACTGTAGGGACTTGGGATATGTCTTCAAGACTTGGAACTACCCGAGTCAACTTTGTTGATTTGCTCCGCTTTGCAAGCAACTCCCAGCTGCCCCTGTTTATGTTTTTTTGATCTGCGCCGCAGAACGCCGGAAAAAAAGACAACTGCCCAATGAACATTATGACTATCCACACTGCACACTGCGCACCAGTAGGAATCATCGACTTAATGATTTAACATGGTTGGCTGAGTAATATCATGTGAGCATTCTTTGCTGGATGATGGGAACCACAACCTGATTAATTAGTATATATAATATATACTATACATGTTTTACTTACAAATGGCAACACAGATCACATAACTGTTTAACATCTTACACTCACCTGCAAGTTCGACCAGCCATGGTTGTGCTTGGCACAACTCCCTCAGAGTTTCCGGATTTGGTTCGATGCAAGAGCAGCCAAGCATACAATCTGCTTCTGAAAAGTGCTCGTCCTGTCCTTCAACATGGAACAGAAGCAGAAGCAGCTTGGCAAAGTTACAAAAATGTTTGAGTGGACTCGTCTCGTGGACGAGAGCCAGGGTCTGCAATGTGGGGCGCTGCAGTAGTGACTGCTTCACAACAAACTTGTTTGGGAGCATTGAGCATTGGTGGTAGGGTCTTGGTTATATATCTAATGGGTTTGGCAGCTTGGCTGCTGGAATTAAGGATCTAAGCAATGACTCTGACCCTGATCAGCTAGACGACGCTGAAGGGGAAGAAGAGGAGTCGGATCAACAAACTAGATCAAACATGTTTGCACAGTTGCCGTTTCTCTGGAGGATGAACCAGGACATGGCTAGGATGAGCTAGTGCAGTGAACATAATGCCGGCATGCGGCAAGCGTGGCAAGCATGAAAGCATCCTCTGCAATGGGCAAGCCCTGGTTCAGCAGCTGCGGCGGTGATACGCTAATTGATGACACAAAAGTAAGGGGTCATTCTTTCTGGGAACACAAGGCTCGCACCCCAACCAATCATTTCATCCTTTGTGTTGTATTGTGTATTCTTTGGCTGATTGAGCAGCAGCTAAGCCTGCCCATGAATTCCTGAGTGTTGTCAGGGTCACGGAGTAAGGAGTGCATGTGGTGACAACTGCATGGCATGTCTTGGGCAGTGGGTGGGGAGGAGAAGTGGTCTTCCGATTCCCATTGTTTGTGGTTGCACAGTTTGGAACGAAGTGTTTTGTGTGCTGCTTCACGGACGCGATTGGTGGGTGGGTGAAAGGGTATGATGTGGTGGAAATGGTGCCTCGCAAGGCTGCATAGCCATTGTTCTGTGTCTCGTTGGAAGGTAGTGTGCGCTAAAAATGGGGTGGTGAAAGGTTTGTTGGACTTTGGGGTAGTGGTGAGTCTGGTGAGTGGTGAGGTTGCGAAAGGTGACCACTGAGTTGATGACCTGGAGGACTCTGGACTCTGGACCGGAGTACTTCCACCAAAGTCCAGAGTCCAGAGCGATCTCATACTACACCAAAGGATGAACCCTGGCCCTCTTTGTACCTGTCACTAGGCAAGGCAAGTCCCCCTGCAAGCCATTGGGCAACTACCACCAGGGGCAACTACCACCAGGGGCAACCACCACCAGGGGACACCACCGGGCTCAGTTTGAGTTTGAATTTGAAAATACCAACCACAGCAGCAAGGAACAGAACATATGATCCAAATTCTAAGTTATTGTTAAATAACTATATAATATATATACTAGTCTAGTACTAGTACTAGTAATACTAAATACTTATATACTATATACATGAATAGAGAAATAAACGGAGTCTGGGGCAGGTGCTTTGCATTGCTGAACTTAGGTTAATGCCTTTCGAGATGCTGCCATGCTGGTTCTGGAGCTTATGCACGCCATACCAGTAACAGCAGAGCAAGTGCTGGCAAAGGCCTTTGAGCCGACAATCAAACAGGTGCAGGGTGGCCGGCCAGCGTTTTCTTTGTTGCAACTATACCGCTGCATGGTGTTGCCACTGTGTTTGTGATTAGCTAGGGCGAAGTGCGAAGCAATGAAGTTGAAAGTGTACAGTGTACATTCGATTGAGTCTATTTGTCTAAGGATACCAATCACTTGGAAATGTGTGAGCAGTGAGCACTGAAAAAAAAGAATTGAATCCAACTCCAACTCAACTCACTGCTTCCAAAGTTGCCGTTTTGTGGCTCAGGAATGTGCACCTGCGCAATTCCAACCGTTTCAACACAGCTTTGGCTGCTGCATTGGATTTAGCAAGTGCTCAGAAAGGAGCCGGACAAGAACTTTGGCCAGTCCAACCCCAAGCCAAGTTAGCTTGTGTTTTTTTTGTGAGGGGGGGCTTATGGCATTGCTGGCTACACCAGTGACAAGTGTTGCCAGTATAGTATAGTGACCTGATAGTACATGAATTGGCTGAGGTGGCCACCGGAGATGAAGCTGCTACAGTGACCATGGGTAAGTCGAACGATATCAAGGGCCCAAGCGGTCCCACTTTGTCACGCGCAAAAGTAAAGTTGGACTTGCTCAATATGTTCTCGAGGCAACATCATTGGCGAGAAGAGGGCTTTGCCAATTACTTTTTGTGCCTTAGCACGAACCTCAGTTTTGCTTTTACTTGGTTAGCCAGTCGCTTGTGCTGAGGATATTACTGTAGATTTCATCAGGTTTCCATATGCCATGGAACTCTGAACCTCAGGCTATGATGCAACGCTACAACACAAAGAGTTGTTCTTGACGGAGGAATTCAGTACAAGGTCAGGCCATGATCATTTTCATTGTGGCACAGTTCAGGGTGTGTCAGTGTCAGTCATTCTGATTTGTTTGGCTTAATTTCCCCAGGACAAGAGATGCGGTGAGCAACTTTTTGACACATGTTTCCCAGAGGCAAGACACTGATGGACATGTGGAGGACAGTGAAACTGGCAGGTTGTTTGACATGCAGCCAGAGTCCATGACAGAATCCCGCGTGTTGCCAGTGATCTCAATGGGGAAGGGTACTTTGTCTCATGTTGTGCAAGTGTTTGTTTACGGTTTTGCAAAAGCAAGCAGCAAGCAAACACTGCACTGCACTGCACTGTGCAAACATTTTCTCTTCAGAGTTTCTTTCTCCAAGGGGGCAAGAGGGGTACGGAAGATTGTTTTGATCACACATAGCACCAGCATGATTATGATTTCGTTGTTTGTATGTCCATTGAACTCAAACTCAGGATGTACAAACTTTATCCACAAGCTTGACGCACTGGTCTACGTTTTAGCGTTAGAAGCCAACACCGGGAACCGGCAGAAGAGTCTGGCAGACTATTGCGCGCGCGTAGTGTCATGCTTGTCTGATCAGGGAGCCTCAAAAGTAAAGCAGTTGAAACTGTTTTTCCTGCTGTTCACTCGAGATTCTAGTTAGTATAGTAACATGAACAGTGGTAGGTCACACTTCACATACGCTGTATTGTATATATATATAATATAATATACTTATATATAATATATATTATATATATTATGATTGTAATGTATTTTTTATGTACTATATGTTTCCAAGTTCTGAGTGTGAGTTGTGTGAATGAATCATGTTATGTTCAATGTTCATGTTTCTTTTGTGTGAATCCGTGTGCAGTGCAAGCCTGTATCTGGTATCTGCTGGAACCTTGAGGAACATGATAGAAGACAGTGTCACACACACATGCACACACACGCTGTGAACTATAGAGTGTGCCATGTACATACTTGTGGCCCGGGGGGGTGGCACCTAGGGGTAGAAGCAGCTAAAGATAGGAAGGAGAAGAAAGTGCGAGAGAGAGAGAGAGAAGGCAGAGATAGAGACAGAGAGAGAGAGAAAGAGAGATAGATATATAGAGATAGATGAAAGAGGAAGGACAAAGAGAGAGAGAGAGAGAGAGATAAAGAGATAAATATAAAAACATAGAGAGAAACAGATAAAGAAAGAGAGAGAGAGAGATAAATAGGAAGGATGAGACAGAAGGGGAAGAAAACAGGAAGGATGATAAATAAGGAGAGAGAGAGAGAAAAATAAATAGAGAGAGAGAGAGAGAGTGATAGAGAGAGATAGTTAGATAGATAGATACATATATATATTTAAATTTAGATTTACATTACTTATAAATATAGAGATACAAACAACCATGTTGTTGTTGATGATGATGATGGCACACTGACGCAATGATGATTGATGATGGTCCGGTGATTGGTGATATGTCTATTTCGTGATGATGATGATGATGATGATGATGCTGACTGAGGTGGGAGTCGAACCT